AGGGATCTATACATATTTATAATATAGATAAATTATCAACTCAATTGAATATTTTTGTGGCCCTGAAAAGGGCCTTTTGAATAAGTGGTGTTTGTTTGATATAACGCAATTTACTTGGAACTAGTATACTTAGTGACAGCTTTTGTTCCTTCACTAACTGCGTGCTTAGCCAGTTCACCGGGAAGTAAAAGACGAACAGCAGTTTGAATCTCCCGACTAGTAATGGTGGAGCGCTTATTGTAGTGTGCTAAGCGCGAAGCCTCAGCAGCAATACGTTCGAATATGTCATTCACGAAGCTGTTCATGATGCTCATGGCTTTCGATGATATACCAGTATCGGGGTGGACTTGCTTTAACACTTTATAAATGTAGATAGCATAGCTCTCCTTCCTCCTGCGCTTCTTCTTCTTATCGTTTTTGGTTATATTTTTCTGAGCCTTTCCATCTTTTTTGGCTGCTTTTCCGCTAGTTTTTGGTGGCATGATTTCTGATTTTAAATTTTAATCGTGATTTTTTTTTTTTTTTTTTTTTTTGCAGTAGGTGGAAGCATCGAAAGCCGCCGTGTGAGACTTGAACCCACTAAACCACCTCTTAGGAATGGATGTGGAAGATTGCAGCCGCGTTCAGCGAATGCAACCCCCATTCCAGTGAACGAAAGTAGAAGGAGAGCAGAAGGGCTTAGTATTTAGCAAGCTAAATTTATCAAAGCCGAAAATAGACTAATAACTTAAGAAGGATGGAAATATCGATGAAGGAGATGGGTTTACGCAAGATTGCGAGGGGGGTCTAATTATGTATATACTCTACAATCAGGATCAAAAAAACCACGATTGTAAAGCGGAATAAGTGGAGCTCGGATGAGCTCTTCCTCAAGATAGTGCGCAAGGAATTGTGGAGGCTTATACCTCATAATCTCAAGTAAAACTGTTGGGAGGGGATCTACTTGTAGAACGTCAGGTGGGTTTCGGCCGCGAGTAAAGTAACGCCTAGCTAGTGAAAGAAGGTATTCATCAATCCGCGTAATTCTAGCGGAGTTAAAGAGGAGAGAGTTAGGATGGTGTTTGCCACACGGCCTTCGCCGGTAGTTCACACAATCTCGGATAACTTTTCGTTCGAAGATTCGGATCCGTTCCATCTGGTGGGAGCTAATTCCAGACCAGATAGGAAAGGCGTATGAAAGAAGGGGTCGAATAAGTTGCTTATAACAAAGTACTTTTACTTTGCTATTAAGCTGGTTATGTCTACGGAGTGCATTTTTGAGGGATTTATGCCTGAAGGTGGCATTTTGGATGGCATAGCTCACATGGGAGACGAAGTTATGCTTAGGAGTGAATACAACTCCCAGGTACTTTAGCTTGTCAACAAGCTGAATGGGGGTGCCATTGATTCTAAGTTTAAGGTTAGAGATCTTAAAGGACGCAACTCGATCAGCACGTTGGCCAATAAGTGGTATTGCAGAAATTTTTGAGTGATTGAGCTTAATCTTCCACTTACCGTAGTAAGCAGAGAGGGTGCTAAGGTGGCTATTAAGCTCAGTGGAGATTCTACGAGGAAGAGTGGACTTCATATAAA